GCGCGACGCGATCGTGCACAACTCGGCCAGCCGGGGACTCCAAGCTGCGGCCGTCGCCGGTGTCACGGCCGGCGCACTCGTGGCACTGGCCAACCAACAGTCGGCATGGTTCCGCCATCGCCTCGGCGTGAGCGGCAAGGTCGGGCTCGCCGTCATGGCGTCGGTCGCCAGCTTTGCCATCGTCGCCGAGCAGGACCTCTTGCGCGGTGTGCGCAACCCGGACGCGTACATTTCTGAGATGCACGGCGAGGTCGCCTTGCCCACCAAGACGATGACGACGAGTGACCTGCCGCTGCTGCAGCGCACGGCCAACTTTGTGTACGACTACCCGTTCCGAACGCTCGTCGGCGCGACGGTGCCGCTCATCGGGTGCATTTTTCTGGACCAGAACCGCAACGCCAACATTCAATTCTCGCAAAAGATCATGCACACGCGCATTTACGGCCAAGGCGCGTCTGTGGTGCTGCTTCTGAGCACGATGGCCTTTCACGACTACATGGCCAAGCGCGGTCGGTTCCAGTAGTCAATGCCACTCTATCTCTCGAACGCCATCGCTGCCGTACGGAAATGGTAGAGTAAAAATAGTTTAGACGCATTCGCAACATATGCAATCGTATTCATCGTACTCGCTGCGTGGGCAGCAAGCACGGCACCGCGAGTTGTGCGTCAGAAGCAGACAAAGTAGGTCTCGCGGATGATCATTTAAATGAAGATTGTCGTCAATGCACGCAGACTAGTGTGGTCTTTGCGAGTTGTTGTTCCTTCACGCAGATGCAAGGCACACTGTCCATCCTCCCTATTCCTTTCTAAATAAGTTGGCGCTTAGCATTGGATGCCGCTATCGTCTTGGAATGCACAAGAACGATCATGTCAACACCAATGTCTTTTACGTCGTCAGCACGAGAAGCTTAGTTGCTGGTCGGCGGCTTGAGGAGCGTCGGCGGCTTGCGCGCCGTGCCAAGCGGCAACGTCACAGTGTCCTTGATCTTGCCCCACTCAGGCATCGTCACGAGCTCCTCCGACGCCGTGGGGTGGATCGCCACGATATTGTCAAAGTCCGACTTGTACGCACCCATCTTGACGGCAACCCCAAAGCCCTGGATCATCTCGTCGGCGCCGAGGCCCGCGACGTGAACGCCGACGACCGTCTCTTCAACACCGATGCACACGAGCTTCATGGCAGTGTGCACCTTGTCCTTCTCGGCGCACATGGCGTAAAACATGTTGGAGAACGAACTCGTATGCGTCGTCACGTTGTGCGCGCCGTACTGCGCAATGGCCTGCGGCTCGGTCAAGCCAATCGTGCCAATCGGCGGGTGGCTAAACACGACCGTGGGAATTTGGGAATAGTTGACGCACGCGTTTGGCTCGTTGCCAAAGAGACGGTCCGCGAGGCGACGACCGGCCGCAATCGCCACCGGCGTCAGCTCCCACCCCGTCGTCGTGACATCGCCGATGGCGTAGACGTTCGGGACAGTGGTGTTTTCTTGGGCGTCGACTTGAATAAACTTGT